GGATGATCCTTCAATAAATGACTGATGCTTGATAAGAGGTACGAGATGTGTAAATTAAGTGATAAGATTGGCAACGCAGCGTTCGATCTGGCAACACTGGAAATGCCAGGCTGAGAAGTGAGAGAGGAGAACGGTGTGGTGTCAAGTTTTGCTTCAGACTTGGACACTCAACGGAAACTCTTGCTAAACAGGCCTACAGAGATAGTGTTTTATCAAGATCCTAGTTTTTTTGCAGGAACGCCTTCATATTCAAGAACCGATGAAAATATCTACAGAATCCGTTATCTTGTGCATTCAGATCGTCGGTTGGCGGAATTTTCGGGGAAGAGTTAAATTTGACACACACCACCGTTCATCAGATCAAGTACAACTGGGTGCTGCAACACGATATTGCTCCTTGTCAATAAACAAGTTTTTGGCCAGTCAAAACAATCCTGAGGCTCCTCAGCCTCCTTTTTCGCCTGACTTGAGTCCCTTCCAAAGTTAAAAACTCACTTCAAGTAAACTCGTTATGGGACATTCGGAAACATTCAAACGGCTGTAACCGACCAGCTGAAGGGCTTTCCAGAGCGGAAGAACCATCTCCAGTGCTGTGTGGATTCAGAAGGAAGATATTTTGAGGGCTACAATATAAAATAATATTTAAAAAATTAATTTATTTACTTAATTTGCAGAATTCGTGTCAATAACCCTAGGAAATATGCCAAATTTATGTATAATGTATGAATCATCAATACGAACTCTAGTTTCTCACATACTTCCCATTTTATCTAGCTATATATCACTACCTAAGTCCAATTTTCGCAGGTCTGACTCAGCAGATCGGACCTAAGCCTTATTACTTGCTGTTTTTATTAGGGCCGAGTGCCTTTATGACCCTTGCAAAACATGACATAAAGAGGCCAGACAAACGAGCAATTAAATCAAAAGTAGCGGTAGTAAAGTAGCAGGAAATCTTCTATGTGTATATGGACTATAACGCCTAGCCCTATTGCCCTATGGTCAACACCCTTGTCGAGATTTAACGACAGATAGCAGCGACGTTCCTTCCTTCCTATCTTGATATCTTAGACATCACGGAATGTATTGTACAGTTTATCTTGATCTTGTGTAAAGTATTGAAATGTTAGTTCCTTGCTCGACTTGATTTTTTTTATTGACATTCGGTGATATCCATGTGTACAACCAATGAGCCATATTTTGTATTTTAACGCAAATAATTAAGTAGAAAATCGAAAATTTTCGCTAAACACACTTACACTGCCATCTCAAATGATGCATGCAAACAACGTTGCCAAACCAAAAGACGCGAAATCGGTAGAAAGTGTCATTGCAATTCGGTAGAGTAAACGATAAAATCGGTAGGAAGAATCACGCAGGACCGGTTCAAGGTCACCGGCGTTTGACGAGCTTTTGCTTCAGGAAGGGCACACAACACAGATACACAGGTCTTCTATAAAAATTAAAACACATTAAAATTAAGCTTCTTAAAGAAACAACTCAACTACTTTTTTGTTTAATTGATCCAACCAAACTATAGTGTCAGCAAAATTTATTAAAGAAATGTAACTTTTGCTAGGTTCGTATTGTAATACCATTTATAACCTTCTATGTACAAGAATTACTGCAATGTATAACATACTTTTGATGAGATCGTCATTTTTCTGATAATAAAATCCATCAGTAAATCTTCTAATGACTATATCTCAGTTCAACCAAAACTGAGTTACAATAGTCTTCTGCTATTATACATGTTGTATAACAGGCAGAACTTAAAAATAATTATTATGATATACCAGTATGGTTCAAAATCCAGTCGGTTGTTACCCCCAATATTTTTATTTAATTTAATATATTGCAAAAATGTCAAGTAATGTCAAGTCTACTTGAAATTCCAATATTTCACTGGCAGTCGAACAAACTACTTATTTTGATATTGAGTTGCTAATATCTAATATTTGACTTGAGCCTGACTTGGTTCAAGAATCTTGGAAGTCAAGCCGTGAATCCACTTTTAAGGATAATTTGGTTTTTAGTACTTGGAATCTACTGTACATGAAAATCGGTACCAGAAGTATGCAGGCCCACCAACACTTGATGTGAAATTTTTTGCATCACAAAAAAATAAATTGATCACCTAAAACATTGAAATAGATATGTTTGCTTACCTTTCATCGTATGGGATGAGGACAAAGATTAACTTTGGCAAACCATTGGTTGGAAGTGATCGTCAGATTCTCGCGTACCTTTGCATAAAAACTTTTTTCTAAAATATCCGTAGGTCCCAATATGGATGGCATTTTTGAATTATATCTACAGTCCCCTTCGTATAGTCATACCTTATGGAGAATGTTGGACAGAAGTAGCGAGAAAAGGGAAAAGTTTCCAAAACGCTAGATTTCACAGTTGACTAGTCCTAACGGTACCGTTCGACCTATGAACTTGAAATCTTCCAAAGCTTGATGTCTCGCTAGGTGGTCTCCAGAAAAAAATGTGAGCCGGATCTAGGATATAACCCACCAAGCTAGGTCGTACAATTTTCGCTCCTCCTTTTACGAATTGGTGCTCAGTGATGTCATTTGTATCTGGTCTTCCGCGTTTCTGCAAATGTTAGCAATTTACGCGAATGCGAGGGGTGAAGAAGATACTCATTGGTTTAACGCACATTCTACGCCTACTAAGGAGGCTCACCAGGCTTCTGGTTTTAACTCGATTGAACTCCTCACATCAAGAAGTCGTCAATTATTAGTTTTTTAGAGTGTCGAAACTTAAAAACAATTTACCTTTTTATTTAGCATTCAAGTTTTGGCATCGCATTTTCAATATATAAATTGATGTCATACTGACGTGGTTGAAAATTCAAACAATCTTGATTATAAATGACCGCACAGTTTGGCAGCACCATATTCCATTCTATGTGACACCTTACAGTATTGACACGCACCTATTAAAGCTTGTATATGAAAATTGCCGCAGCCCATCAATCTCTCTATTTAATTCAGAAAAGTAATCCAAATAATGCAAGACCAATCAATTCGTCAAACCACCCCAATCGCAACAATTCCCCCTCGTCCGTTTTTTTTTTCACGAAATAACAGTTATATTAAGCTTCAACCCGTGCTGTTATCGTGTTCGAATTTTAATCCTCGATTAGAAAAAGCATTAGGGTGGCTGTCATTCGCCATATTTACGGCTTGTTTCCCTCCCTCTCCCCGGAAGAGAGAGATTATAAATCAGGAGGCACCGGACATTAACTCCCCATTATTTCGGAAGGACGCTGGGCATCTATGTTAAATTAAAAGCTTTCATTAGAGCCGGTACTGGTATGAAAAATTAGAGATTGGCTTTTTGTGCTTTGTGATTTACGCGGGCGGTGGTAGTCGTAAATTTTACCAGGTTTTTTATCTAATGAAAAAGTATGTCGGAGGTTCAGCAATGAATGACCAAAAGCGTTTAATCCAGGTATTTAGGTGTCCAAAGGCGCACTTGCTGAAAAATTGGTTTTACTTCCCACTGGCAAAGAAGTAATGTAATCTAGATAATTCCAAAATGAGGTTTCTTGAATGTTATATGACGAAAAACCATGTCACTCATTTCTGTCAGTTTGACGGTCTGTCCGTTAATCGTTGGCCCGTCTATAACTTGGAAAGCACCGCTCGGATTTTGACGATGTTGCCAGACGAGCTTCCAAGAACCAAAAAGCTGTATAGTATTTCAAAACCGGTCCAGTTACGGTGGAGCTACGGAGCAAAAAACGAAAAAATAGAAATCGCTCAAACTTTGCTATTTGACGTTTCAGGGGTTCCTGATCATCTTTAGAAAGAATTGGGGATTGTTAGAGGATGGTATACCTCAATTTTTTTACGTTGATATACTTGTACACTTCCAGGCGCGGTAATTTCACGGACCTATTAGTTATATTTCAAACATCATACATTTCCCCGTACATTTTTTGCCCTTAAAACAATAATAATAACGCTTATTGAAGAAAAATACAATTTACAAGCAAAATAAAAAGCATATACCGTAATATACAAACACAACACCACCAACAAAAAGCAAATGCTTGTGCGTATACATAAGGAGGTCTAATACTTTCAACTTATCATTGCCTTGCTAGCACATTTTTATTTATATGACATTGAATATTTATAGAAAAAGCTCCTAAAATATTCAAGGCGGTAACCATTTTTTTTTACTTTTTGAAATCTACATCTAAGAACAGAAATTTAAAAGCATTACCTAACCAACAGTTTACTGATTTGCTAAAACACCTATATATTTTTTTAAAGACGAAGTAAAGACTGATTGACTTTATCGGTAAAAAAATATAATAGATGAGTCAAACATTTATATTATATATAATAAAATTGGTAATAGATTTTTTTAAATTTCAACATGATAAACCAAATGTTTTCAAGTAAGAATTTTATTATTTATTTTTTTTATGATAGAGAAATATTTTTGGTACCCGTCTCTGCTTCTGATTTCTAGGTTTACCGTCGGGCGTGCCCGCTTCAATAAGTGTGCTACCAATACTGCCGCGGCGCCGCGTTTGATATTTCGAAGAAAATGAATCTCGAGGTCAGAGTATGTTGTACGTTGCTGTCCGTTTTTTTTTTTTATGATAAAGTCCTGAAACTTCCATCTCAGTCCTTCGCGCTAGAATATTAATATTTGGGCCTCAATTTTCGGCTAGCTAACTTGACCCGTTTAAAAGTAAAGTTGGGGGACCTTTCTGAAAAGTACTGAATATTTATAATATTAGGGTCTTTGTTTGCTTTTTAGTACGTTTTTCTTATATAAACATTCACTGGTATTTTATTTTAGTACCTAATATTATTTTCATATTCTCTTTTTCTGATATTCATATAAACACATACCATTTGAAGAATTGCTGGGCATCACAAGGTCATTTGAACAAATTACATTGATTGTTCTCTACCAAAGATTATTGGGAATGAGGGATAAAATTGAAAAAATCCGTAGAAAGATGTCAGGTTAAAAAGAACTGTGCATTGTGTACTGTGATGTATTGGCCAAAATAGTTACATTGATCGAAGTGTCAAAATACTCACTGTAGTCCATCAGGTATTAAAAATGATATGGATGAAATGATAATCAGGCAATTGCACTTCTTCTAAACATGATTGCCCACCTCTCTTTGAATACAGCCCATTCTTCGGTGTTTTCGCATGGCCATTTTTCAGATTCCTTTCCAGTCTTGAATTTACTGCATCTTGGTCCAGTGGCATCAACAACCACCGCAGTGGCGTTCGTGCATTTGCAAAGAGGATACTCTGGGGTATTGCAGGGCATTATTATTTTTAAGTACAGACCGTAACACTGAAAATGACCAAACGTTAGCCCAGTATTCCATGTACAGTCTGCGAAAATCAGTTCGTCTGCCGAATAAGGCTAAAGATTGATTAAACATAAACTAATCTTAAAACACGTTTTGGGGTCTTGTAGGGGAATGTTTCAACTTTAGTTTAGTAAACTGACAACCTTAGAAATTCTAATTTTTTCAGCTAAGTTTTCAAGCATTTCAGACATTTAATCGAAAATGGTTACCTTTAGAGAAAATATATTAGAAAATATGGAAAGAAGGGGAGATTTTGGTTCAACTGATTAGGAAAAATTTAAAAAGTAGTGTGCGATATGCGGTAATGTCTACCTTAACTTTTCAGTTTTAGAGTATTTAGACGAACGTCTGAGGGAAATATGAGGAATTTGTTTGACGGCTGCAATTACCTATCCCATACTGATCAAATAACGACGTCTATGGTACCCGGTGATAACTTTTGAGATGCTGGTATATTAGACGAGGCGAGAGCAGCTTTCCAACTCGATTTTCTTTTCCATAATCACTTTTGTTGAATGTCCATTATCATCAATCAAGAGGTATCCTCTCGGTAACCCGAATCAAATTTGTTTAAGCACACAATTTTAACAAAAATACTTCTTCGTGTTTTTCGAATCATTCTGAACAAAATGACCTAGTACTGTTTCTCTCCGAAAACTCGGTTGAAAGTCATAATTATTGAGGTCGCTAAGTATCTAAATTTCAGCTAAAACCTTTCCCTACAAGACTATTAAGATTAGTTGATTTTAAAGCAATTTTTAACTTTGTCTGCTAGGTCTTAACAGGCGAGCTTGCAATTTTCGCAGACTGTACCATGAAATATTCATACGTCTTGGACGTTGGTGGTACGTTCTTCAACACTGTACGTTTATGTGGAGTCTGAGTAGTTTAAAATTTTGACGCTTTCGAGGGTAAGGATGTATCACAGAAGAAATTTGGACCGATATGATTGACCTGATTCTGATACAGAATTAACAAGGGTTAGAAAAGCTTGGTATCAGATTATTATGTTTACCATGTATTCTCCACTTTTTCCTGGAGTAGCGATAAATCCTCTGTGGCACCTACATGTTCCGTTGCTAGTTACGGTTGCCCAACTATGAATCAAGCAAATGTAGGATACTAAGCAGAATATTAATATCTTCATCCTGAAAAATTACTTAGCTAGAACGTTTCAAAATAATGAACATAAAGTTTGGATAAACGACAATACGTAACACAACACTTACCATAGACACTTCGTTATAACAGAGGTCACCAAAAAGAATAAGTATTACTCTAAATATCCTTCAGAACTGCAATCTTGATAAAAATTACACAACACTCAGACAAATGTAAACGATATTTCTACCAATATACTACTTAACTCATTATCAATGTTTATGAAAACATATCTTCATATCAGCACTTTTGTTGTATACGTTATACTACTCGTGCTCTTCTGATGATACGTATATGCATATTAGAATGCACGGTGATGCAACTATTAAAGTGCGTAGCATGTATTTTAGATGCGTCATGTATGGCTAGATGTCATTTTCATGCGGGTGGTGGTAATCCTTCTGACCAGGGCTTTACCTGATGATGATGATGAAAGAAAAAACAGGTCGAAGACACAATACTGAAAAACTAAAATTAATATTTCTAGAGCATGAATTGTGTCATAAAAAATTAAGACAAAAATGATCTAAGCGAGGAAAAGGGTATGCTTTGTCATAGCCGAAACGAGTGACATGGCCAACACTTCTCAAAGAAATTGAACTACAGCTATTACCGGAGTCATCACTAACATCAAACAGCTGAATTCTGAAATCTATCACAGTTGACATTACCTAAAACACTTTGTCGTAACATACTGAGAAATTAATTAATTCTAAAAAATTAATATTCTAATTATGCCAATTAAAAAATTTAATTAACTAACATATGTGACAGCTAGCAAGTTCAATTAAACTCCGATTTCTAAAAACGCATTCGTTCATTAAATTTATTAAACCGTTTACTTAGATTGATTACACCACCAATTTATTTAAAATAATTAATGAACTATTAAAATGAGCTTACCTGATACATATAAAACAATTTAATTACATACATATATCAGATTTGTTTAATAAGCTTAGGTAAAAGTGTTTGCATAGTTCTAATGAATTATTTTATTTGGATTCAAAAGGACGATTGGATAATGCTTGGAACTTGAAAAAAACAAATTTTAAAGTTTCACTTATGTATTCCGCCACATCAGCAGTGACTTCCCAGTGTTTCATTTGGATCGAGAAATATTCTAACCATGGTTATGGGTCACTAAGCGCCTTATGCTCGAGTATTTCACTTCATGAACATAATTGACCCACTTCACAGTTAATACACCAATAACGGTAGCATTCGAATATGAAGCTCCTCGCGAAAACCCAAATGAAACTGAGGCGTTTGAAGCGTTCACCAACACTGCGCTTGTCGCAGACTGCCAATCATTCACGAATGAAGTGCGGAGTCTGTGATTCAAATAAATAGTCAACCTGTTTTTATTAAGATATTTAATTGTTTTAAATGTACCTTTTCTACATAAAGAAATTACCTAAGCTGAATAAACAGCTTAATAAAATAGGTACTTAGCGTGCTATCTTCAAGCAAGTCAGTTTAATAGTAAATTACTTTCAATTAAACTGATTCCAGGAAGTTCGTTTTAATTAAACCGAATGATTTAGTAATTAAAAAATTCATTACGGGTAATGAAAATTTTCCAGAACAACTATTTAATTGACCACGTTTTTTGGGTGAAGGAGTGACGTCACTCACACCAATCATTGTTAGATATGATTAAATATCTATACCTACCTTTTTTCAGGTGTTTGTAGCGTTTTCATTAACATTTTTGCATTGTCACTATTTTATCCAAGCTCTGTAACATCTAGTATTGTTTTCCTGGAATTGTTGATGCTTCACTTCTAGATTGTTAATGCCGCCATGTTTTACATCCTATCCATAAAGTGTTCCATGGAAGCAGCGATTTTATGACCTGCATCTACGCTTGCTGGCTTTACGACGCTATACGTTTTCAGTGTGGGTGCATGTATTTCGATTTATTGTTTTATATTATAGCGCTCAGCTATGGAGGTGGTGTTTTATCCAAGGGTCAGAGTTACGGACTTAAGGGTCCATAAGGACATTAAGTCTAAGCGAAGCTTAAAGTTGGAGAGGCCTAGCACGTATCTATGCAAGCGATTTATGTCGCATGACAGTAACACTGCTCAAACTTGTCGAGTGAACTTGAAATGCGACACAAATCGCCTACTGTTTGCAATGAAGAATGCTGATGAAGCGACGCGTGAACCTAATTATTGTTTTCTATCTACGACTGGGCAGTAAAGTGTACTTTAGGCTTTCCGGGCGCTAAGTCCCACTTTCCAGCCCGCGGACTTCTTTATGTCTGGAGGCAAAATAGAAGCCTTAGCGCCAGCTATGTTTTTTTTATATACTCCAACTACCACGAAGACCTAAGGCCTAAGCACTCATTGGGTACCGTGGGGCTATAGGGGGATACATGGGAAAGGGGGGGACGCCACACGGACTCTGGCGAGGGAACACGTGTGCATGCAACATGCACACATTCTGGCTCCGCCTACGAGAACCGCCGGGTGGTACCTCCGCGTTCGACAGTCAGATACCATCTACCACCTACGGACGGATGTTTGAATTAATCGTAGAACACAATATGGTGACCACGGGTACCATCCTCATTTACTTGTTGCACTTGTGCACATATTCCTAACAGCCTGAACATAATTGCTGTTGTTGTAGCAGTAGCTTCTAAAACGAAGCTACGATAATTTATCCGCTGATAGAAGAAAGCTAAAAACCTGCATAAATTATATAATAAAATAAAAATATTGAGTCAAGTCTATTTAAACCAGTCGGGTGGAATCATAAGTTGACTAGGTATGTCCGAAAGTGTGGTTATAACTTAATGATTTGATATACTGTGCAAGATTTGTGTGCTAATTTTATGTGTTGATGATAATTCCATTGGATTCTTGTCTCAAATACAGTTACTTGAGATTCTAAGCTAGAAATTAGTTGAGCATCCATTTTTTCTTATCCATTCTGGAAATTACATATGCAAATTTGCTGAATTTCAAAAATGAGGGAGATAAGACATGATTATTTATATCCACTGTAAACTGTCGAATTACAAGCCATATACACGCTAACAGTAATTACATACAACGCAAGCGCGGTGGTGATATTCCGTAATTCTCCTCAAAGTTGTTGAAAACACAAAAAAGCGTAAAGAATCGCAATTCATAACTTTGAACATAACCTGTCTCCAAAAAGGCCAACATAAATAAATAACCCGACAGGCACAGCTAATAGATATACTTCATTGGCGGCATATTCAATCATGATTTTCTCACACAGCAAATATCACTGATTTTATACACATGCAGACCAATACACATAATCATCTATTGCTATTGAGGCAACTTTCTTCTCAGAGATGAAAACTACAGACTACTCGGCTTCACAAAACATATGCAACCAACAATGTGTGTAGTTGAGCTATTTTTCCATAGATAGACGCTCACAACGATCCTAGTGAGCAAACGTGGAATGACCTGTGGCACCCTAAAAACTACATAGTCTGCAAGACGACATTTTATAGATTTTTTTGATGTTTTATAGGTTTTTTACAGAATACCCGTGCCGGCCGACGTCACCCGTAAATGATTCGCACGATAGAGTCTCTAGGACATGACATAACGAGGCCAACATTTTTATCGCACAGATCTGTCAAAGTGGTACGCGTAGATGCTTTGCACAACTGCCGGGTTCATCTGGAAATATTTATTTTTTTGACAATCTTTTCATTATTATTTTTTTATGAAACGCTGTAGATGATCTACTGTAGATATCAAGAAATCGTCAGGCGCAGCGCTTCACCGGTTACTACATAGCAAAAATGTCACCCTTGGGTCAGCGCTCGGACTATGTTTTGCATTGCCAAATGATATTCCAAAAGCGTCCCTATAAATACTATCTTAGTTAAACTGATAGGTGAGTAGTGTTACCGGCTTCCTAATAACATGACGTCCTTTATTGATAGCGAAGGTGCAACATTTGCTACCCCCGCATTCGCTACAACCTCCATTTTCAACCCCTTAGAGCAGGAGAACCTAAGCCAAGTTTATTATCATACAGATCTGGGGCAGTTAGAAAAAGATCATACAATCAATGAAAACCACATGCCGTTATCTTCATTCGTGATAAAGTTTTATCTGCAAGTTTCTAACCCTCCCACTCCTCTCTGTGACCGACAGTTCATCAAAATGCACAGTTTCTAGCATCTAATTTATCAATCTTATTTCTTGTCTGACGCGCACGAGTATTTCTAACCATCGATTTTTTTTCTATTCTGCCCTGGACGTACCCCCTGCATAAAAGGCTTATTCGAGGTCTGTAAATTGAGTAATGATACTGATTTGTTTCATATTTTTATTTCAATATTACTACAATTTTATATTGACACCCTCCAAATAAGTTTCTAAAGTCACACAGCGCTGGAGATGGTTCTTCCACTCCTCATAGCAGTGTTGGAACCCCGCTACTGGAATACTCGTCAGCTAGTCGGTAACAGCTCTTTGTTTTCGGCTGTCCCAAAATGAGTTCCGTTGATGTAATTTTTCAACTTCGGGAAGAGATAAAACTCACTAGGACTCAAGTCAGGCGAATAAGGAGTTTGAGGAGCTACATGAGTGTTTTTACTGGTCAAAAACTCGTTTATTGACATTGCTGTGTGACAAGGAGCGATATCGTGATGCGACATCCAGTTGTTCTTGATCTTATTAACGGTGGTGTGAGTCAAATTTCTAGATCATTCTGACATTGGTTCTTGAAGATGAAGACCTTTCGCTTCTTGGTTCACCTTCAACCAACTCTCTCCCTTCTGAAAATGCCTGGGCTCTTGACAAAATACTATCTCCGTAGCCCTGCTGAACCTTATCAAGAGTTTGAGTTGCACTGTGACCACGTCTGAAGCAAGATCTAATAGCCCACCGTTGCTCGACATTGATATCACTCATTTTTAGAACACAATAGAAAAAACTGTTCCACAAAATAATCGGTACGACACGAGCGAGTTCAAACTTATACTGAAGGCGGGTCACATGTTCCCGTGTCTCCCCTTCAAGCACGGCACCTCCAGATCGAACGCTACGTTGCCAGTCTCATTACTTAACTTGCAGATCTTGTATTTGAGAATGCGAGGTATCTCTCCTTATCTTAATCCGCCGCGCTCCAGTAAATCCCCAAAATCACCTATTAAAAGATTAGTGAAAATGAACAAGCTTCTCTGAAACACAGAAAATTACAATCCTTCGTTGCTGACTTACGTGCGAAGTAAAATGAAAATGGACATGCTAAAAGATATTTGCTGCTAATACATGACAGGAAAAAAGTTGTCAATTACAGATCGCGATTAAACCGTTCCCCGTTACTGGCTTTCCCTCGGCGA